CAGTTCGACTGATTACTACGCAAATTGGTTGGAACACATAGGTGGCACTTCTATATAATCAAGTGTTCAAACCCACCTCCATAAATAAGTTTCTAGAGGAAAACTCAGTAGAAACGCTCAAGATCGACATATTATAAAAACATCAATAGCAGGTCGGACGGCATTCACAGGAAAGATCAAAGCAAATAGAGTCTAAGATGTGTCAAGAGAGACTGCTGGAATAAATTTCTTGCTGCAGAACAGCAACCACGAGTGACTCAATCGTGATTTTCACCTATGCCACAACTTACAGATCTCTGATTGTGTTACGAGAAAGACGTAAATAACCGATTGACTTTAAATATTTTGTAGGAATGGGAGCAGGTTCTGCCTTCAGTGATATTCTTCCGCATAATTTGTACTGAGAAGTGACTGATTTCAATGTATATTTATCCCCGATATACAGGCCCAGCCGTCCTCATAGTGTTAATCGGCGTAAGTTACAACTCTCGGTCAGAAAGAGAAATTTGAATAGTGTCAATCATATTTAGAATATTATTCAACCCGCTGTAAAATTATTTCTAGAAAAGGAAGGCGAATATCACCTGACAATATGTTGCCCGTACTACACAATATGCTCTGCACGAGGCTAAAAAATTACCTGACAGACATGATTGCTAGACTAGTACCAAATTATACATGTATGGGACGGCGCCTAATTCGTTAAGTTATCGTACATTTTCACTGTATTGCAAGGCACGTAGAATAGTACAGCAGAGAATAGTATTCGTCGTTTGGATGCTCGTATGCATAGCAGAGTAATGGCTTCTGCTAACGACCAAAGAGAATATACATTCTGTTAATCCGGGGTATGTATTAATCTGCATAGGAAATCATTGCTGTAATTCAATTATATTGCATTACATATTATATTACGCTTAATCCTACGAAGATGGAAATACATATTGTATATATGCTAATGAAAGTGTTAAATAAGTAAATGGTTAGGAATAATAATATTAAGAAATTTATTGCAATAGTACTACTACCTGTTGACAAAACTAACAATAGTGTAAACGCTGTTTATTATTCTTCGGCGGTAAGGTAATTGAAGGGCGGTTGACTGATGAGCTCATTTACCTTTCTTTTATCAGTCGATGTGACCAAGAATAAAATAAAGATGATCTATGCCTTTCCCAAGGGAAAATAAACTGCCGCAACAGAAATTCGAACTCACTGTGCTTGCTTCTTCTTTGCTCTTCACAGTAACGCACTCAAGCCTAACCTTCGGCATTGGGATGACATCTGTGTTTCATATTTAGACAAAAGTTACAGAAAATTAATATTTTATGCGTTTTGAGGTTTTATCAAAAAGGCCTGAAGTTGAAGTTAACAAATCTTTAAAAAGAAATTCCAGCTAAAAATCATTTGTTAGTTTTTTACACACATTTATATAATTATTAGTTTCAATTTAAGTAACTTTTTTAAACTAGTGCTAAATTATATGTCGTTTTAATAAATATTATTAATAAATAATATAATATACTTTACTTAGCATGTAAGGAAAATATGTATTTGCATAAAAATAATGAGAAACTTATTTCACAATATATTGTTACAGGCGCCGATATATTTCACCCACTGAGACGATTAAACTCGATACATGAGAAATTGTCTGACAGGTTAGATTAAACTGTGAATCATTACTTCACAGTGAGGCGCTAAAAAGCGCTTGACGATATGAGCTATTATAATAAATAATATTTTAGAAAACAATATTGTGAATGGGATCTAGATAGATCATATCCTTTCATCTTCCAAATGGAAAGGTTGCCTTGAAAACCAGCATTCACTGAATATCCTTTTGGCGGGAATACTAAACAGATAACTTAATTCCGCAACTTTCTTTGACGTTATTTAAACTCAAACACAGATATTTTCTGAGTCTTGGTTAGTTCTGCACTGGGACATAGAGCTGACGATTACAGTAAAAAAATGATATAGTGTCAATGTTGCAAATGAATAGTGGTTGCTTGCCTGACAAATAATAATTTTTACTAAGGGATGTAGTTTTATAATTCAAACAATTTAAAATTTAAAATATACCGTGAAACGGTACAAAATTGTCGCTTTCGCTTTTTATTTGATGCTTTGTGCGTATTCAACCAAGTTATTGAATTGAGTTCTTCCAATGAAGAAGTGAATTGGACAAGTAAGATATTCGGCGTTTGATTCATGCACCTAAGCAATGAATTCACTCTCCAAGAGGAATCTGATGTCGTATATTCGCTTCTGTCAAGAGGAGGAGTCAAGTGAGCGTAACACTAAAGGCAGAAAACTCGTGTCACTCATTATTTACATAAAAGAATTACGATTTTCTATTTCCTCCATGAAAACTCAACTACTTCAAACTTAATTACGCGAAGAAAGTAACAAATAAAAAAATACATATACAAACATAAACGTCATTTTTACTTGAACTGGGGAAAGTGATTTGAAAGATTTCCTTGCCTCGGGACAAGGCGACAGTAATTTCCTCTCGTAGTGAGGGGAAAGGAAATGAACCTTGCACCCAATCACCAAGAATAAGATACTTGAAACGCATGGGTTAATTGCAAGAATCGAATTTTAGTCTAGCCTCTCCATTTATCCACACCTGTCACTCAAAGATTAAATGCATCGAATCAAAGGAAAAACAAGACCCATTGACAAAATGTTACTCGTATCGTTTGACTATAAATAAAGTGTGGTTGTCGCTAAGCTGTAAAAAATGCAATCAAATGAAAAAGAGGGTGAAAAATGAGGATATATGGACATATAGAACTGTCTTTGCCTAATCGGAGGCTTCCCAGCCAACCTCCCAGGATACCTCGGTGTCTACTAGAAACATAACCACTCAAAGAGGAATAAAAATATTCTATAACATGATATGGCCAAAATTATTCACTCATATGAATAACAGTTTTGGTTGTTAAATGTTAAGAGTTAATCAGGAAAGTCTGTATCGATGAAAAGGTGAGAGCAATTTTACTAAAATTCAAATATTTTGCAGAATGATGTCTGATTTAGCGCCGAGGGTTTAACATCAACAATATTAATATTAATTTCCCTATCACTATGTGGAACACTGTGCTGCCAAACGGTATTGATGGAAAAACTGAATGAAAGTTTATGTACAATGTACGAGCCACCGCAAAGGTTACTGTGGCATAAAATGCAAATACCTTTAATCGAAACATGTAAATTATGCTTCCGTATTATTATCGCGTATAATCTAAAACTCTTCATGGCAACAATCTTCTACCATGGCAATACCATTTATCAACGGAACAATGAACTTTGCCACAATGGACGCGCTGTACAGGAATGATTTCAGAAAAAGGAAGTAATCTTATTCTAACCATCAAATTCCCTAGATATCAATAACATTGAGCAGGTACGGTATATGCTAGATGAACTAGTCAGCTCTGTTGAACATGCCCAACTTAATTTGCAGAAAGTGTTAGCCTCGTGGTAACAGATCGAAAAGGAATCATTTAAAAGACTTGTATAGTCCCAGCCATATCGAATAAGAAGTGTTTGGCGGGCAACTGGATGAACTACACTTTATGTAGGTATATATAATATTTTGAACCAAAGGAACACACACACACACACACACATATATATATATATATATATATATATATATATATATATATATATATATATATATATATATATGCAATGGACAAAGTCCGACAATTATTTATAGGCATTTTATTCTTTTTTTATAGATAGAAGTATTTTAAGTAAATGCTCTATTTATAATAAACAGTATTAAATAACATTTACCGGCCAGAATGTCCGAGAAATGGACTCGAACCTGTATCCTATACGGAACTGTCATATAGCCTGACGTGCCACAAAGGATCGTTCGCAAACGTCAGGCCATCATTTCATTGCGTCTTGCATTATACAGCCTGTCGCCTCTAAATGCTGACTTCAGTGTTCACTGTTATATTTACACAAGCTCTTTCTCTGATATTGAGCACTTTATCCCATAAATATAGCACGCCTTAAGACTATAATTCTATCTATATATATATATATATATATATATATATATATATATATATATATATATATATATATATATATATATATATATAATTCCCAAGAGGATAGAATCCAGGTAGAACTAAATGTCCAGGACAGAGTAAGAATATAATATAATATAAAAGGCTAAAACTATTAATTAATATTCCATGGTTATAATTTATTACATTGGAATCGTAATGACGATCCAAATTATCAGACCTTCTTTTTAAATTTATGAAAATTTTCGATAGAATGTAAAGAAACAGGGAAGTGGTGTTTCATGAATTGTATTTTTAAATAAAATCGTTTATTACCGCCGTTGTTAACCGCCTGACGAGATGTCTTTAGACATCGAAACAAATATGCATTTTTGTCGCGGTAACTTACATGTTCCAATGTAACAGTTTATAATAAATATTTATTGCTCTACTCTTGTATTGACACTTTTTTTCAATTAGTGCCATGAACGTTTGAGTATACATTCTTTTACATTTGCATATATATATATATATATATATATATATATATATATGTGTGTGTGTGCGTGTGTGTGTGTGCGTGTGCGTGTGCGTGTGTGTAAGTCTTTGTGCGCGCGTGTACGCATGTATGTATAAAAATATAAACTGTTGCTCGCCTCCGTCAAAAGCCCAGTTGGGAACTCGGAAGACCATTCTGACTTTTTAACGCACAAGTTAAATTAAGTATATTTTTATTTTTATTTAATTTACTTTGAAGTGAAAAACTTTTCATGGTTGGGAAAAATCATCGCTCATATTTTTGTGTTTGAATAGTTTTTACTTACACGGGGTTTCGTTTTTTTTTTTTTTCTTCTGTATTATTAATTGTCTCTTTTGAAAGGCAACGAACATTTAAAAAACAAGGTTTTTAAGATTTTTTTTAACGAGCTAATGGAAGTAGATGTGCAAGCAACTGAATTAAACAATTCGCTATCTCGATAGATATAAAAAGGCGAGATAGATAGATAGATAGATATTAACCAGATAAGATAGTTAAATAGATAAATAGGTAAATAATGAACAAAAGTAAATAGATAGATAGATAGATAGATAGATAGATAGATAGATAGATAGATGATAGCGCACAGCATGCCAATTATCCTCCTACTAAAAGTTATTTTCTCTTTTCCAGTTTTTGTGAATCTAAATTTCATAATGAAGACATTGCTTTATAAAAGATTTAAAAGAATCTCGTCTTCCTGTGAGGTCGGTTGCATACAGCGCGGTGACATAGGGACAAAAAAGGTTTGCAATGATGTGATGACAATAGAGAAATTATTATGCGTGCTCCTCTCGTATAAATAAGTCAATAAACATATTTACAAATAGCTATATTACGACTTGGTAGATATCCATGGAAAATATCATTTCTTATTATGTCGCATCGTGCTGAATAATATCAGTTTATGGATGTGTGTGAGGGTATCAGTTTTGGTGTGTGTGTGTGTCCCTGTTTGTGAACGAAGATTTTTATTTATTTATAGTAATGCCACTATATGAGTAATTGGATAGAGATAAGATTAACAAGCTAGTCTTCAAAATCAATACACGGGTAAAATCAAGATTCACTTATTGAACACCAGTTGTCTTCCTTTGTAATTATTTACATACTTATCGATTTGTTCTTATATATTTGCGCACATGCGCTTACACACACACACACACACACACACACACGCACACACACACTCGCACACACGCACACACACACACATATATATATATATATATATATATATATATATATATATAATTTTATAAATTCAGGATTTACTGTAAAATTTTCTATGTATGGGATTAATATTTACGATTTAATTAAATGTATTGTCACGGAAGGGAATTATTTTGAAAATAAGTATTTGGTGTGTAAAATAATTTTGTTTACGATGAGTCTACAGGCATAAGGAAGAACGTAGAATAGACCTTCTAAATCTGCTACGTCTTTATGTCAGTTGGTATCAAACGGGATTTTATCAATAATTCATCGTTTTCCTCGATGGCAAAGCCTATTATTGCCGTTTAATCTGTCCTACGAAAATAGGAAAGATGAAAAATCATTTTTTTTAAAATACAATCACTCATTTTGACTTTGGAATAAAAACTCTGCTACCTTCATAGATTATTTGAAAATTAATGTTCAGCTGTAGAAAACGTTTTAGAAAAGAAAGCGTTGATGAAAAGTGATTGTCTTGTTGTTGTCTCAGTGGGATGTCGATGTAAGATTACTCAATTAGAGACTAAATTACGACTGACAGAATAAAAAATAGAGAATGCTGTTTATATGAGCAGACGAGACCAGAGAAAAAAAAGATACGAGTCGCCTTCTTCAGTCCCAATGTTCGTTTCTTGTTTTCATAAAATGCCTCAATTTCGGTTAACATCATTTCCGATTTGACAACACGTATTCTACATTTTTTCATGGGGCGAACTCATTAACATAGTAAGAATACAGAAATTAATCGAAAGAGTTGTTAAACTGAATTCATTTTCGTGTGTATGTGTGTGTGTGTCTGAGCGGGTGTTGGGGCGAAGATTCACACAGACACATGTTGGCCAGTATGCGGGTGTGCGTGTGTCTATGCATGTGTGGAGGTGGGGGCGAATATTTACACAGACGCACGTTGGCCAGTATGTGTGTGTGTGTGTGGAGGGGCAGATTCACACAGACACATGTTTGCCAGTATGCGTGTGTGTATGTTTCTGTGTGTGTGTGTGGAGGTGGGGAGCGAAGATTCCCAGACACATGTTTGCCATTATGCGTCTGTGTGTGTGTGTATGTGTGCGAAGATTCACACAGATACATTTTGGCCAGTATCCGTATGTGTGGCCCCGATTTATTTCACCAAAAATATATTAGAAATATTAATAGCCAAGAAAAAATATTTGAACAAAATGATGTTCTTCACCTTCCATATGAATTAAATACTAATAAAAAGTAATTCCTTCTCCTGGCAAATTATCAAAGAACAAAATGGCAGTTTTATTGTCTCTCTCTCTAAAAAGAAACATACTTATTCTAAATTTTATCTTCTTGTTTCAAAAGTAAATGTCTACATCGATGTAAAAAAGCCGTTATAAAAATTTATAAAAATTTAAATAACAGCACGAATTTAAGCTGATCTTTAAGACAAATTTCCTTAAAGAATTATATAATAATTATCATTTATGGTTTTCTGAATCATATTTATTTTACTAGATTTTCCTCAATAAAAAGCTCAAGTGTAGAGCATTACAGTCGAAATGGTGATGAGAAATGTGTTACATAATATAAATAGAACTGAACGTGTAGGAGTTGGGGAGTATGAAGAGTAACGATTAGTCCGTGAATAGGTCAAGATTAGCGTCAAGATTGAAGAGGTCAAGTTACAGGTTAATAAAAATATAAGAAGAAAGAATCTTGAATCATACAGATAGGAATATAGGTACATGAATAAATGTGAATATATATTTAATTAAACCGAAAGTAATTTATTTTCGCTAGTATATTTAGTTAAAAATATACCTGGCTCTCTGTGGAAATATTTTACATATATCCAGCTAAGAATCAATAATTCTCTAGACTAACACGTCAGGTGAATTATGATCTAACATTACCATTCTGTTTTCTCACTGAAATTAATATTTAATAATTAAGAAAGTGTCCAGTCCAAGTAGGAAAACATACTGATAAATAAATATTTGCGTGAAATAAATGCTTTTGTCATCATTAGGCTAAGATCATATTGATGTATCTACATATATGGACATCAAAGTCATAAAAAGTGATATAGATTCTGATGGAATCGATACTATTTTTGCATAAATTCTTTAATGAAAATTTATTGTATAATTTGAAATAAAAGCAATATTAAGTGAGTCGCTCTATTGCTTACCATTTATAAATGTGTTGAGTGAAAGTATGACCCCATAACATATAGAACTGGTAACGATGAGCAAGAAAAAACAAACAACAACAATGAGATTTGTAAATACAAAAATACAGATATACTTTTTTTTACAAGTTCTGAATATTATGAAATGTTAACAGCGACTAAGCAAAATGTCGACAGACACTCAAAACCTTTAAGCAAGGAAAATTGATAAAACCTAAGACTAAAAGAACAGTGAGAAATGTAATTATCAATTTTATATCCATCCATCTCATACTTTGTGTTTTTCTAGTATTTCTGAATATCAACGATCTTCCTAGTAGACAAAACCGTCCTGTTTTGGTTTGCTTTCCCTTCCACAAACAAAACTATCACAAACTTCAAACATATAGAGAGAGTAGTAACAGTCTGTTATTTCATGCTTGAACGTAATGTTAATTCTTGAAGATTGCGCCCAAGCATAAAAGACTGTCGCCACTCGTTGTTGGCATTGATATTTATCTACGCTCAATCCAAATATTGTGCATTTTTCGACATAAATATAGTATATCTTAAAACTATATATATTTATCAGATGTAATATGTGTATATATGCATAAATATATATATATATATATGTGTGTGTGTGTGTGTGTATGCATATATATATATATATATATATATATATATATATATATATATATATATATATATATATGCATATATATATATATATATATATATATATATATGTATATATATACAGTGACACGCATGAGTATTGGATACATGTTATTTTCTGTTATGACTCTAGTTTATGTTCGCCATTTTGCCTGATATTTGGTAAGTAATATCTCGTAAAGTTGTTTTAGTTGTATGTGTAAGGAAAAATGGATTCAACCATGAGTTTTTAATTTTCCTTCCACATACAACTAAAACAACTTTACGAGATATTACTTAGCACTACCTTGTACCTCTTCAGACGAATGGTAAGTTACTGGTGATTAATTTTTTTTTGAAATATTCAAAAGCTAAGTTTAATCTCCTTTCCGAAAGGTAAAGGGTGGTGTTAAGAAAACATAAGGTCAGAATTAAAAATAGATGTTGGTTTATTTTCATCATCAAATATGAGTTCTACGCTAAATGGAAAATTCATCAAGAAGGGTGGAATTGTGTAAGTTATTTTTTGATGACATGATAAATCGGAAGTTAGACAGGTCATCATTGACAATTTCATGTAAGCAATTACAATTGACTGTAGACAAATATGACATGTTCAATTGTTCAAAGGACGATGAGAGGAGGATAAGAAAGATAATCAAACGTAAAGTTAATTTCAAAAGAAGTTTTTTGAAAAAACATTTCAGATTGAATAGGCATTTTGGAAGAACCTGTAGATAAAATTAAAAATGCGGAACATCTATATTAGATATAAATAATGCTAACTACATATCAATACTAAATCTAAATTAACAAAATAAGATAATTACTTGTAGAGGGTGGACCATTATTTACTTATAAATTATGGCCATAAGAAATGGAACTACCTAAGTTAAAACAACTATTTTGTAAGGTAAAAGATAAATAATGTCGGCAATTTTCAGTTAATTCACTGCTTTGGTTTAGCAGCGATTTTTGTCAGCAAATCGGATAATTTCTAACATTTCTATGTAAGCATAAGAAGAAAGGTTCATTTAAAGATTTACAGGTTCTATCTTTTTTTAGCATTTTCCATTTTACCTTAGGTGTTTTGTTAACTTCTTTTAAGTTCAGAAAATATTTAGGAATGGATGCCATTGTAATATATATATATATATATATATATATATATATATATATATATATATATATAATTTTCTTTTCCTCTCAGTATTTTAATGTCAGCACTCAGGATATTTCTGGCCTCTCTCTCTCTCTCTCTCTCTCTATATATATATATATATATATATATATATATATATATCATACACCCTGAATACGAACAAATAAGAGGAAATAAGAATAACGTATGTCTAATCTCTATACACGGGGTTTACCTGGAACGATTCCAGTTATTTTGAATAATTCAGATGACGTGCAGGTTTTCTCACAATGACATAAAAACACTGAACCACTTAGAAGGTTAGATTTTCTTTAAAATTTCCGTTTAAAATTAGAGTTGAAGCCGCAGACTGGATTAAGGATTAAAGAAAACCTGACATGGAAACTGATGGCGATCCCGAAAGTGACATTGGATTTGAAAT